CGAGGCCCTGGGGACCCCTGCCCTCCCCTCCTGGCCCCCAATAGCCTCCCAGGCTGTGTGGCTGCAGCCCAAGCTCGGTCTGAGAGGGCCAAGGGCTGGCCCCAGCTCCCTGAGGGACCCCCTTCCCCCCCTCCTCCCCCCCCCCAGGGGCACAGGAGGTAACAGAGAGAGCAGATCTGAAAACCCAGCAAGCGCTCAGGGCTCCCTGCCGGGGCCGAACACAAAGGCACAGCCTGTGTGAGGAACAGGACCGGGCTCCGTCTCATTTACTCGTGAGCATCACCACCGGCAGGGCCTTCTCCGTTGTTATTTTATGCTTATGTAGGAAAAATAATTCTTTTTGCAAGAAACATCAGTAGGTACAAAATGGTATCCCGCCCCATACAGTACCAGGTGACATAAATGCACACGTGTGTCTGTCAGACCACAGATCTAACACCGGGCAGAAATGACCGCAGGCTGCAAGACGGGGGCGTCCTGGGCAGAACCAAGAAAACCACAGGAGCCCAGCCCGCAGTGTCCCCATGTCCAGGAGGAGGAGGCTTCCGGCGGGCCCTCCGGGTCACACTCTGGGGACCTTCCTGACACCCCGCTGAGCCACCCCTCCAGGTCTGGGGACACCGAACCCTCTATACCCCCTGTGGCCGCAGGGGGGTGCTGGCTCTGCCCTCCAAGGCACTCGGCACAGCAGGTGAGAGCGCGGGACTGGAGCGGAGGCCGGGCCCCGCCAGCACCCCTCTGCGTCTTCCAGCCACAACGTCCCTGAGTAGACTTCTGTCCAGGACCACCGACCGGCCCCAGAGCCTTTCCCTGCACGAGTGTGTCCTGTGTCCTTGCCGGCTCCATCGAGGCCCCAATTCCGCCCTGCTGTCCCCCAGCCTGCCTCTCAGAAGGGCTGGGGTCCCCGCTCCTCATGCAGCCCTCCAGGGACCAGACCCTAGACCTCCTCTTCCACCTTCAGGATCATCCCTGAGAAGACCTCCAGGCCCGGGTGGGGGCCCTGGGGGCTGCCCTGGGGGCCTCTGGTGGGCCCAGAGGCCACTCCCCCAGCAGGGGTGCCGTCCAGGACTGTGGGCGAGGCTCCCCGGGCCGGGCAGGCCTCCACCAGCTTCTCGAGGGTCCGGTTGAGGGCCTCGACGCCGTCGGCCAGCCGCTGGCTCTGCTCGGCCAGCCTCTGGAGCAGCAGGTTCTGCTGGGCCATCAGTGCACTCTGCTGCTGAGACCAGTGGGAGAGCAGGGCGCCCTGTCGCCGATGGGAGTCCAGCAGTCGCTGCTCAAACTCGGAGGCCTCCGCTGCGGGCCTCCCGGGGGGCGGGGGTGGCACAGTGGAGGGCGGGGAGGGTCCAAGGGCCCCTGGGAATGCAGCTGCAGGGGGCACCGAGGCCGGGGAGGCTGGCGGGGAGGGCGAGGAGGCAGGTGCAGGGACAGTTCCTCGTAGGTCCAGGGGGTCAGGTTCGGGCAGGCTTGGCCCATCCAGGGTCCGCAAGGGTAGCCACAGGCAGCTGGGGGCCTCGTCTTCCTCGTCCGCTGGTGAAGGGGGACAGGAAATGTCAGCCTCCAGCAGCCATGACTCTGGGGCAACACCTCAGAGGGATGGGGAGGTGACGGGTGGGGGCCCTCTGCACACGGCCCTACTTTGGTCTCCTGATGCCCCTCCATGGTGGGCAGCAGCACCCGTATGAGGAAACCAGGACTCAGAGGTGAGTCTTCCTCTAGGAACACTTAAGTCCAAACCTCAGCCTGGCAACCACAAAGCCTCGGTGCTTGTCCCCCATGCCGCCATTTGTCTACACTCCACCCAGCTGGCTGCGGTCTACCGTCCAGTCTGTCATCTGTTCACCTACGCATACCACCCACCAACCTATCTGCCCATCAATTTCTTCATCCGTCATCCATCCATCTCCTTCCTTCTTTTCATCTTTCCTTATACTCATCCACCAATCTTCCTTCCATCCATCCATCCACCCATGCCTCCGTCCGTCTATCCATTCACTATCCATCTATCGTCCGTCTACTCATCCATCTACCCATGCCTCTGTCCACGCATTCATCCATCGTCCATCCTCTCTCGACCCATCCATTTACCCAGCCCTCTGTCTACCCATCCATCCATCATTCATCCTCCATCCACCCATCCATTTACCCCTGCCTCTATCCATCCATCCATTCACCCACCCACCCACACATCATTCATCCACCCATTCATTTACCCACACCTCTGTCCACCCGTCCGTCCATCCATCCATCATCATCCTTCCTCCATCCACCCACCCATTTACCCCTGCCTCTATCCACCCATCAATCCACCACCCATCCACCCATCCATTTACCCACGCCCTGTTCACCTATCCATCCACCCACCCATTGACCCATGGCTCCATCCATCATCCATCCACCCATCTGTCCATCCACACCTCTGTCCATCCATCCATCCATCCATCCATCCATCCATCCTTCCTCCATCCACCCACCCATTTACCCATGGCTCCATCCATCCATCCATCCATCCATCCATCCATCCATCATCCATCCACCCATTTGTCCATCCACACCTCTGTCCGTCCGTCCATCCATCCATCCATCCATCCATCCATCCATCCATCCTTCCTCCATCCACCCAGCCATTTACCTATGACTATTCACCCATCCGTCCATCCACGCCTCCATTCATCTACCCATCCATCCAGGAACCCATCCATCAACCTCTGAGTGCACTCCTCCAGCAAGTAGATGTTCCAGGAGGGGGGGAGGGTGTACATGAAGCAAAGCTTTCCCCGTGCAGCAGGAAAAGCCCTGGACATGAAATCCTACAGCCTAGGCTCCAAAATCAGCTTTTCCCCTTGAGACCCATGTGGCTTTGGGAAACCCTTTTGCTCTGGACCTTCAGTCCCCAATCTGCACCTGAAAGGTCTGGCTAAGGACTAATCCTCCCTCCTGTCTGGGTGTGGAGGTCACGTTGGTCAATGCCCCAGGGAAAACCTGAACCTGAAACGTGGGGCTATGTCATGCCCTGTCTTGGTGCATACTTCCACCCCTCCATCCAGTGGAGGTGAGAGGAAGGACATGCCTGCGTGGCAGCAGCTTTGGGCCGCACCTGTCAGTCTGAGCCCCACTCACCTCACCTAGGGCACAGGGGCTCCTGAACTGCCACGGAAATGGGGTGGTGACGGCATCACCCCAGACGACAGGGTCCGATGAGCAACATGGGGCTGGGGTAGGGGTCTGAGCCTGATGAGGTGTCCGTGGACACAGGTGGCCCCCCATGCCACCTCCACACCGCCTCCTGCTGCTCCTCCTGCTCCGCTGTCACACCTTCTTTCTGGGGTCCTGGCATCTGCAGGTCCTGCTCGGATGGCCCCAGGGCATTCGTGGAAGGGGCCACCCTGCTGGCCTGTTGCTTCCCTCTCAAGACGAGGCTTTCTGTTGGTGAGGGCTTCGGGCAGGCACTGCCACTCGGAAGAGTTTCCATCAGAGAGAGGCCGGGCCCTGAGCTTCTGGCAAGTCTGTGTCGCTTCATTCGCAACCTGAACCTTCCGCTCCGGAAGGCCCCGGAAGGACCAAGCCTGGTGGAGAGGCCCCAGGTGAGGGCCTGGCTGCCCTCGGTGTACCACAAGGTGGCAGGGGCCGTGGGCCGGGCCGGGAGCACCGAGCTGCTGTTCTCTTGCCTCTGCTCCCATCTTGCAGAGGAGACCTTGCCACGGCCCCTGTCTTCTCCTGGTGTGGCACTGACCAGCTCCCACGTGTGACCCACCCATAGGCACCCTGACTTCAAGTCTGACGGCCACTGACGGAGAAAAGAGGAAGCCGACACAGCTTTGGCTTCCCGGACACCCGGGGAACGAGAGCCCAGGGCACCACCCGCCCACCTCTCCCGGGAGCCCTCTGCCCTGCTCCTGCCCGCCACGGCCCCCACACAGGGGTCACGTCCAGCCTGCGTGTGGCATCCTGAGCTTGCCCGGGCAGCTCCTCCTTTGGCCTCCGAGCACAGCGTCCTTTCCACCGAGACGATCCCACTTGGCCTTCAGGATGGAGCGTGTACTCTCCCAGGAAGCCGTCCCTGCTCCGCTAGCCCGGGGTCCCCCTGTCGCCAGGCTGGACCATCCGCGCCACCCCACCCCACCCTTAGGATGCCCACTGGTGGAGAGGCGGGCTCCATGGGGTCCATCTGCGTGTCAGAGCCCAGCGTGGAGCAGAGGGCCAGTGTGTAAGTGACGAGTGAATGGGCGCTGGCTCCCGAGCCCTCCCTCCTGGCCGGACCAAGGCCCAAGCCCGCCTGGCCTGATCAGGTGCTCACGTGGTCGCCGCGGGTCAGCACAGAGGCCCAGTGGTCCGTCCCCAAGGCCGCTCTAAGCCCCGTCGCAAGCGAACGAAGGTCTTATATTTGCTCTCTCTCCCTCTGAGCCACCCAACTGGTCCCAAGCCAAGCTCCACTGGCTCCAAGAAGGGAGGGTCCCTCCCAGCTTCCAGCCCGGGGCCAGGCCAAAGGCAGACCCGAAACACACAGGCACCTAGACTGCAGGTGCAGGAACAGGAGGGTCGGAGGAGCCCTCTCCACGGCCGGTTCCCTCTGGGAAGGAGGCAGACACTGCCCGACACACGTCGCCCTTCTGGGGAGAAGAGACCACAGAGCTTTCCATAGGGCACCTCGGTGAGTGTGCTCCTGGGAAACCATGGGTGGGCACCCACACAGTGAGACCTCCTGGGCGGGCGCCGCTCGCACTCTCGACCGATTCCCTCCCTGCAGCTTCCACAGAGCTAGCTGGCAAAGGCCCTGGCCGCCTGCCTTCGCGGGGGTGCAGACGGCGGGCGACCGTGCACAGCGTCCTGGGTGCAGACCCCGCCGTCCTGCCTCTCCCCTCCCGGACACCAGTCCACCTCGGCTGGGAAAAGACCCTGTGGGCGTGCCCCTCCCACATACAGGGCAGGGCCTGGGCCTCCCAGGGAGACAGGGGACGGAGGGGGCCACGGGCCAGCCGGGCCGTCCCCTCAAACTGACTTACTTGGTGCCGGCTGGCTCCAGCCAGGAGCTCGCTGGCCGCCTCTGTGTGCGAGGACGCAGCCTCAAGGCTGGCTTCAATACTATCTGCAAATCAAGACAACAGAAGCAATTACAGAGTGGAGACCCTGAAGGTGTGACGAGGGCCAGCCCAGGGAGCCCAGGCCCAGGGGCTTGGAGCGGGGCCTGCCCTCCTGTGGCCACTAAGGCCCCGTCCTGGCTTCACCAGAGGCCAGGTGAGGAGTCCAGACTCCAGAGAAGCGGAGGCTGCAAGGCGCTGGGCCACCTGGCTGGGGCAGGCGCTGGTCGCCAGAGCCGTCAGAAGGTGCCCTCGGGGCAGGGGCCACCCACTCGGGAAAGGTGGAGGCCAGCCTGGAAAGAGGCCCCGCCCTGCTACTTTTCTGCACCCTTGGGCCGTCCTCCAACTCCTGACCATGGCCCCTGCTTCTAAGAAGGGGCCAGAGCCGCCGTGAGGATGACCGTGACCGGGTCCATGAATGCAGGTGCAGGGGGCCGGGCAGCGGCACGCGCTGGCCTCTGGCCACTTCAGCGTGGGGCTCCAGGCACGGGCCTGGTGGGGGTGTCCACACAGCCCCTGACACGTCACACCGGCAGCAACAGCTAAGCCACCGTCCCGAGGCCCAGAGCAGCCCCAGGAAACCAGAAAATTCCACTCAGCAACCGGCGGGAAAGAGGCGGCATCATGAAAACGTGTGCCGAATTCATAACCAGACCCATTCGGGACACGCAGCCAGGCCGCAGGGACATGCGGAGCAACGGTGAGCTGAGACAAGGACGTTCGCCCACGGTGGGAACTGGGTTGGAGTCCCGGTGAGGGATGCGGCTACACTGTTTCCTCTCCTACCACCAGGGATCCTGGTGGCGCCGGACAGAGGGAGCGGGTGAGCATAGCAAGAGGCGCTCTCTCCACAGACCGGCTGCTCTCGCTGCTGGCCACTGCAGACGCCCGGAGTCCCCTCTTCCAGGAAAAGGAGACAGGCCTCCGAACTCCTGAACTTTGGTTAGGACTTCGGAGGCAGAAACAGGTAAGTTCAAGTGGCACCTCTCCCCCAGGGCACCCCGGGCACCACCTGAGCCGCGCGACGCGGGAGGCCCGAGGCCGGGGACAGAGAAGGTACAGATGGACACAAGTGCCTCTGGGGCACAGCGCCCTCTGCCCAGTGGGTCGCTCTGCGGGGGTGTCTTCCCCAGGGCTCCTTCCCCTCAGACTAAGCACAGCCACTCCACGCGGAGCCCCACTGGAAGGAGAGGAAGGAGAGCTTGGCCCCTCCTTGCGCCGGGTCACCCCTGCTCCTCCCACAAGTGCAGCGCCCACCCCCCAGCGTCCATCCAGGCCCCCGCCCCTGCCACGGCCCAGCTCCTATGCCAAGAAGCCACCTTGCACCCCCAGGCCATGGGCGGCAGCAGCCCCACCTGGCTCCCGCTGAGGAAAGAGGCGGGTGCACGGGGCAGGAACAGCTGCCACCACGCGCAGGAAGACAGCAGGGCCACAGCCGTGCCGGGCGCTGGGGGCCGCACTCCTAGCTGATCTCTCCCGTACCCAGCAACCACACGGAGCCTGGGCTGCCCCAGGACCCTGCGCTCAAGCTCCGACAAAGCCCAGGTCTGGTGTGCACCCAGCAAGGTCCTGGGGACACCGAGAGCCCAACTCTGATGGTACAATACTGCCCGGATTCACAAGTGGTCCCCACAGCTGAAGCCCAGCTCAGACCAGGAACGGGCGCACTCAGCACTCAGCCAGCAGAGCCCTCCCCAGATCACAGTTCTGCCCCTGGCCACCCGCTCACAGCCAGCTCCCTCGTCCGGAGCCCCAGGGGCAGCCAGGCAGGCATGGGGCACCCTAGTGCTCCACCGGCCGTGAAGCACACGGCCTCTGCCTCACCTTGAAGATCCCAGGTGGGTCAAGGGCAAATTGCAGGAGCCCTGAGCTGACCCCCAGGCCCCCTGCAGGACTGCTCAGTGGGAGCTGCCTTGCAGGGCTCTGCTGCGGAGAGCTACAGGGCATCTGGGCACCGGGCCAGGCCTCCAGGGCCCAAACAGACCCCCCATTAGCACTGCTCCCCCAAACACTGACAGAAATCAGGGGGATGCACCCCAAGGTGCAACAGATAGCACCCTGTGGAGGCCCCACAACACTGTCAGCTGGCTGTCCTCACCCCTGTGGCCTTGACGGGGCCCCTGCAAGCCTGACCCTGCCCCAGCCCCTGGGCCAATGCTGACCCAGATGGAGGAACTGGTGGGACCTTCAGCAGCAGTCTCTGCACAACCCCCC